AAAAAAGAAACACTGACAGATTTCTTTTGTGAACCACCTAAAGTTACAAATAATGGTGCTGGTGATAGCGATCCACCAGCCGAATTGAAGGCATACAGTTTTCGGAGCGAGTGGTTGAAAGACTTCTAGTGGCTCCGCTATGAAAATGGTTTTATGCACTGCGTTCACTGTAAAGCCTGTGGGACGGAGTTTGCAGGTAACAGCGTTCGCCGCCGAATCTACACATTTCGTAATTGTTGTTTTATGATGTGCGGTTTGACATTGAGTATATTGCAAAATCCAAACAAAACACACCTACAGAGAGTGCACGCACGCATGACGTGAAGTCTATTAGGTTAGATTAGTGCGCGTGTGCATTTAGAGTGCGTTCTTTCACGGCATGATTCAGTCTATTAAAATGCATCAAAAAATTCAAGATATGGGGCATTTACATTTCATATAGTTCAGGGGTAGGCAACGTCGGTCCTGGAGTGCTAGTTAGCGGAAAGCAGTGACTGAGAGATTGACAGCTAATATTAACCAATACAAAATCTGCATTAAAGTTAAGAATGTAAGGATAAAATCTGTTAATATATAATTTGTAGTTGTGATGCTTATAAATTTTTGGTGAGTGCTCATAAATTTTTGCTGGTGCTCCTCTAACTTTTTGAAGTTGGGAGAACCAGTGCTACCAAGTAAAAAAGTTAATTTCGAGCCCTGATACCGGTTTCACAGTATATGACGTTTTTTTTTTTTCATGCATGACCGGGTGTTAACCACATTTTCTATTGATGGAGAGAGGAAATTCTGCAGTAGATTGACTTAGAATGCCCTATTTTACTTTCATGAGTAGGGATGGGTACCGAGAACTGGTATTTTTTTGGACCGGTAAGTAATTGGGTCAATACTGGACTACCGATAAGATTCAGGACGATACTGTTATCGATACTTTGGTTGTTTTATCTCCATATACGTCAATGTTAATGACGAATTATAAGCTGCTGCTTGTCATTTTTCTTCACTGAATGATGTGGCCGATGTTTGCTCAATGTGTGTATGGTATCCATGCACATGTGCGGTGTGTTTGCGTGCAACCAGTGGCGGCAAGAGTGAAACGTTTGAAAGTGTGGGCTCACGTTACAAAACTAAGTGACACTAGTATCAGATGCAATATATGCAGTAGTGTAATAGTGAAAAAAGGAGGCAACACTAGTAATATAATGAAACATTTACTAACAAAACAATAGTAACAAGTAGGGCTGGGCAAGATTTTTCGATATATAGTTTTTTAAAATGTGGTCGATTCAATATCGATTCTTATCTTATTCAATATCGAGGCCACGAATCGATTTTTTTCAATATTTATTTCCACAAACATTGAACATAAGATTTACGATAATCTTATTACTAGTCTAATCCACTAGATGTCACCCCCTTATTTGCCTTGCGCGATGTTACAACGGAGAGTCCGTCATTCATTCATTGCTTAAAATGGCGGATTCAGCA